CCGGGTTAACATTAATTTGTTATTATCGTAACGGGCCCTTGTCTGCCATTAGCGCTTGTTACAGTGCTAGTGGTTAAATTGTTTTAAAAAAAAATGGATAAATCGTACTCAAATTTGCACAGCCTTAAATTTGAACCGTCATTATATTACCGTTCGTATAGATTTTCCAACCATTCGTTCGATTGTTATTGATATCTCTAAGATGTTTCTATAGTAAAAGCCAAAGTGGTTTTAATAAACTTGCTATAAACACCTACACAACTTCCTACTATTTGATTAATACTCTCTGGTAATTATAAATCCTATATAGCACAATCAATTTACATTTATAGCAACTATGCGTTGAATTACTTCCTTTTCACACATTATGATATTGCAATCAGGAGGTAAAAATCTTGATCGTTAAATTTCTTTCCATTTCACAACACTCTGAATAAAACAATTTATAGTTTATTAGATAATATCTTTAGGAATTAACGAATACATGTACAAGATGTTCCAAAAAAGCTACTTTATTTGTAATACAGGGTTTAGCGCTTTTAAGTGTATTCACATTTTAGAACCATTATCAAGCCCCTCGACTTTTTTCTGGAGGAATTAGTAAAGTGACAAGTGGAGTACCGAAAAAATAGTCAACAATGTTCGCATTAAATTAAAGTTGCGAGTAAAAAGTTTTTTATTGGGCAATATTTTGCTAATTTTTCACACCACGAGCACGAGCCAAAGGTCCAGTTATTAAATGATAAATTCCAGGGACTTGGCAATTAAAAAAGTCACGGAATATCCCTAGAATTAAAATTTTTAGATTCGTTTAGATAAATCTTATCCTAGCGGAAAAGTATGTAACAACATGACAATATCTGGTGTCATCTTCTTGTCAATAATAGCGTATATGGTTTGTCACGTTCGTATTTATAATTTCAGAGTAGGCGTTGCACCATTATACGGTTTTTCTTCAATTTTGGAATCAAAGAGGCGCGAGTTTGTGTGACCTTAAATAATTCCGATATTCAAAATGATGCTAAAATATTGTGTAGCTATTTTCGTATTCATATATACAAAAAGCAATCAAATTTAATATAGAGTGCGAGATAAGAGGATGACTCTAACTCATAACATCTTTATTTGCCGAGATACGAACAATTTGTCAAATATAATTTTGTATGTGACATTACGACCGATTCTATCGTATATTTAAACTTCCAGTATCAGTTCAGTTTTAACCGGAAATCAATGCAACTTTTGTTTTTCAAATGCAATGCCTATGTTTGTTTAATACTTGAAAAGAATGTGCTTGTACGACAACATAAAACATACAAATGGTTGATATAACAAAATTGAGAAATTCAATATTTAGAAAACTTTTGAAATCTAGCATGCCGTGTGCTGTCAGGATACGCGGTGTCAGTGCACGGGTAGACCGTATCGAGCAAAAGTAAATCTTGAACAAGCTGATGTAGGTCTTTTCTGTGTGATATGGCACACGGCTAGTGTTTCAAAATTTCCGGAAAAATTGGCAACTGGGAAAAATTTGCAACATATAATTTTGTATCTGTTCGCATTTATACCTAAACAAAACTGCATTGGAATACATTTATTAAAGTCACTAGATATAGAAAGTACCGCAATCATCCGCCATTTTTGGGAAAATTTGTTGGCAACTTAAAAAAATTGACAAATAAAATCTGAATAGCTGTCATTTTTTATAACCTAACTTCATAGTACTGTCATGTTTTATAAAAATATATACAGATATCTCCAAACAAGTGGAAAATCCCTAACATTAAAGTTACTAGAATCTGGTAACTTCCGCCATTTTTGGGCAAAAATCATGCGTTCTCTCTCTAACACACGAGCCCAATGGATTGCGGTACTTTCTATATTTAGTGACATTTATGACCTAGCAGTGACATCTACGTGTCTGCGGCCCTGCGAGGGGAAGTTCCTTGTCCTGTTGTGTTAATCCATTATCGACACGCGTATGTGACTGTTTTTTTTATTATTGTCATTTGTGGGAGACATATTTTTGAAATTCGTAATTCTTAATTTTTGGTTTAATAGCAGTGTAAGGGTAAGATGAGTACCTAACACGAGTAGATACCGCATGTTACTGGATATACGCATCCAATTTTTCCTGGCCCCCGAGAAAAAAAGTTTTCCCCCAAATTTTCCTTTTTTTTACCGCCCCCTTAAAACAATACACTTGGCATGCTAGATTTCATAAGTTTTCTAAATATTGGATCACGAATTCCTCCATTTTTTTGTATACGTCAAATAACCAAGATTTTTCAATTATTTTCATTTCGATCTAGATATCCATGAAAATGATAAAAATATATAACAGTAATCATAATAGAAAATTTAATAAGCTGTATATCATGTAATAATGTACAGGGTGTTCCATACAAAAAAGTCGCATTTTTGTTATTATCTGAAACATGCGATGTTGTTTTTTTTATTTAAGATTTGAATTCAGTAGGAAAAATACACAATTTTGGTAATTTAACCGTTTGCAACTGAGAAACTTAGAATAGTTCCGACTTCATTCAAAAGAGACTGTACACACATGTCAATATAAGAAAAGTCATTAGTAACTTTATAAAATTACCGCGGAAAGAGTAACGGAAGCAATGCTCATTGTGACAAATAATAGTAGTATATGTGCCACATTATTATTAAATTTTGAAAGAATACATTTTAGCATACTCTCCAGGTTGTGAAGCTGTCATAAAGGCTGGGTGGTATATCCAGTAGAGGAGTTTGAGGAACATTAATTTAATCAGTCACTGTACCTGTCATCGTACTACTTCTGTGGACCAAGACATGGTGGGTTTAAAAACTAGAGACGAAACAAAGTACATTAGAAAAGGAATAATCAGGTTAAGGAAAATGGCACCAATTATTATTAACGATAACTAAAAGGTTAAAAACATTGGCAGAAATTTGCATTTTGTCAATTTGTTTCCGTTTTGTTCGATAAAAATAAACGTAGTTATTTTTTGGAACAGTACCTACTTGAGAAAAGATAGACACAAAGTAAAGAGGATTTCGCCCTAAGGCGAGTAACTTCAGCGCATTTTCCATGAATGATCAGTGCTTCCCAAAAGGCCATCGCCTTGATAAATAAAGAAGTTGGCACTGACTGCGCATGCGCACATCTAATGTTTGCAATATCAGTTATGTTTGCCTTTAACAGAAGCATCTGTGATTAAAATTTCAAAAAGATATCTCGATAAATAACAGTTGATATTGCGTATCCTGCGCATGCACGCATTAAATCTGATGTTTACAATATGCGATACGTTTGCTTACACTAAAAGCAACTTTGGTTAAAATTTCAAAGAAATATCTCCATAGATAAGAAAGTTGCCATTCCGCAGTCTGCGCATATCTGATTTTTACTATATGCGATATGCCTTCATCAGAAATCTCTGTGGTTAAAATTTCAACAAAATATATTAATAAATAAGGAAGTTGACATTGCGCAGTTTAATTGTCAAGATTTTCCTTGGCTCGGGTGCTAAAGCTATACGCTACCGAATGCAAAAAGAACGAATTTAATATAATAATAATAAAAGAATAAAAATTAAGAAAATAATTAAATTAGTTAGAATATTAATTTTACATAAAATACAGCCGAATGATGGAGGGGGGGGGGGGGGTTAAAATTAGTCTTTGTCGGCTAGTATAAAATGTGGGATGGGAACTCAAAAACAGTTTATGATACACAAAAGGAGGAGTTTAGAATGTTGGGCATAAGGATTGAATCGTCGTTCATTACCTAATTAGCGACGACCAATTTCACATATTCCTTCAAGTGTGAAAGTATTAAATGTTATATGCATAAATAAATTATTCTTGTCGCAATATTAGAGCGCAATGGCTAAATCATGTTGCTCGAGTATCAAATCAAGGCTATACAAACCTCGAACTGTTTTTTTTAAGGAAATAAGAACTAATCGTGTCTAGTTGGATTTATTTGGGAGCAATTGAATCGTGAAGGTGTCAAGGATGATCGATATAATAATAATGAATAAAGAGAGAGATAAACCTGAATGCTTTGTTGTTTTTTTTGTGTCTGCGTGCAGTTGTAAGTAGGCCAAAATCTAGGCGATAAGAAAGTGGTTTAAGAAAAGCACGATAAAATGTCACTTTTCTTATTTTTGATTCATAAACCACGAACATTAATTATAGCAGCTGCTCTTACAGAAAACAGAAGATTAGAATTAGCTATTAGAAATGTTTGCTCTGAATTTTCCTTCTCCATAACCTCGCAACTACCACATTGACTGTAGGTTGAATTAATGAAGTATATTGAGCGCTATTTTTTGCGTACTATTAACCTTAGCAACGTGGTTTGTTTTTTTGCAAACCGCTTTTATATCGAGACGACATACAATTTACAGTAACGTACTGACAAAAACGACCGTCTGGGAAATTTAAGTCAATAATGCTTACCCATAATGGTTGCTAAGTGGGCGCTTTCGCAGATATCGCATAACGAAACGAAACTTACATGTTTAAACGCTTCTAATTATTGGTCACCTTACCTGAAACAAAAGAAAAATTACCACTTACAAAATCCACGGTTTCTCTTTTATTAAAAAATTCACTAGGATACTAAACATCGGTTAGCAATTTACATTACTTGTTTAGTTTCTCCAGCGTACAACGCATTAATAAATAAAATAAAGTAAAAAAGCAACTGCTCCCAATATCTCCTGCATGAATAGGTCAAATAGTTATAAAAATCGGAGAGACTATTAAAGCATTCAATAAGGTGCACATTGTTTAATCAACGGAAGTAGAAGAAAGGTTTCCCGCCTGTCACTTTCACTCTTCTACCCCAAGACAATGTTACATCTTCTGACCTTATCAAGGTAACATCTTTCGATGTGATTCTGTGACATTGTACGATATAGTTACGTGATCGGTGGGGATGACCGTTATGGCAGGGATACTTTCCAAGAGGTGTATTTACTTTCTTTGTGATATCTTGTTAGTATGTTACTACTTACTATAAACATAGTTTAACATTATACAAGCACATTATTTAAAAAATTGTACGGGAATTGACAGTTGACACGGTTTTTTGTTTGTGACTGTTCGTATAATAATGTGAAAAAGTGAAAATAAAACAAAATGTTTAAACAGATCGATTTGTTATTGAGATCCAATGTAACACTTATAATAATACTAGGTGAGTAACAATTGTTTTACAACTCATTGATTGATGGCAATGTGAATAATGCCAATTTCAAATTGGGGGTAATGTGTCAATAAATTAATCGATTACATAAGAGCTTTTGTTGAACTGATTGATTGTATTCCCTCAAATAGTTTTCAATACAAAATCCAATAGCTTCAGAATTCTAGAATACATGTTATACCAAAAAAAGCAAGTTCAAATGCAATAGGTACCGTATACAACAATTTTATTTGGGGCTGCTACATGTGATTGATCCAAATTTCAATAATTCAATTGATGGTTGGAAGAAAATTAACAAAATTTTTCGTTAGTTACAATACAAAAATTTGACTGTAAATGACACAAAAAACTTTCGCGTTCAAAGTAGATTAATTTGAATTTGACATCCGCTGATTTGCTAATTCACTGCTGAGGTCGCCCTATTCGGCAAACTGCTCGTTTCCTAACCTTGTGAGTTAAGTAATTTATGATCATATAACATTCCGAAATGTTTTGAAAAGCATAAGAAATATTCTGGAATATATTAAGGCGTAATGCTTATTTGTTAACGGACACAGTTGTATTAACTATTAACCTCATCAATAAAAAAATGGGAGGTTATTGAAATCACTCCACGTTTCAATTTAGAGATTTTACCGGATCTTTACGTATGTATATGCGCGTGGCATGATTCTTACAAACAAGGTTCAGGCGGAACTACTCGATCGGTTTGGTTGAAATTGGAAACAGATATTCTTCCATTAAATGGCGTGGAGAGCTGAAAAGCTTTTGGGAGCGATTGGAAAATGGCAACTGACTTTTGGGCAATAAAATCGATATTTATTTAGAACTTATAACTTTGTGAGGAGCAGACCGATTTGGCTGAAATTTTGTAGCAATGTTCTCTCTAATAGTCCTGAAAGCTGAGAAGATTGGAAAATGGGAAATGTCCTTTTGGCTATAAACCTTATAATTATTTAATAAGGTATGAGCAACAAAATTTTGATTGAGAGAAAGCCCAGGAAATTTTAGATCACGTCTAATATTAATTGGTTTGACAGTTCGCGTTAAGAAGTTATTAGTCAGTGAGGTTGTGGACAAAATAATTGGCGAGGTTTCAGCAGCCCCACTGACTGCCATTTTCTATTTGCGGAATGTTCTACGGTACTCTTTCGAAACTGTGTTTTGTACATGCAACGTTTAGATCGAGTTCAAATGGGACTTTGAGAGTTGGTGCATAATTTGCAATGTGACATAATCATCTCAAAGTTCTTTGATAAAGTAAAATCAAACACCACTAAGTTACGATGGGGCATTTCTCGTTTGAAACGTGTTTCTACCCATGAAAGCAGTGCTTTTTTAGGGTGAATAAATGAACCGCCTCAACCAAAAATCGAGAAAAACAGGAAGAACACACATTTTAGACACTAAGCTTCGAGTATGTTTTGCTTTGCCGTTTCCCCAACGAAATTGGGAACGTAAAGTTTGTTTAAATTTGGAAATAATCCCGAAGTAGTTTGGAACATTTTTTTGATATTGCACTAATGAGGAACCTATTACTCTATAAACCATGGCCGTATACACTAGTCTAGAAAACTCGAAAACCTGTTGTTTGAGGGACTCCCTCGCTCAGCTACCAGGTGGCGCATGGATCGAAGTATGTTTTCAGCATAAGGCGCCATATCGTGTCGCCAAAGCCGACTTTCAACGCGACGCGACGACGCAGGTTCGAATCCGGGCGCACCCGTTTTTTTCCTATACCTTCATTAAATTTATGCGAAACGTTGATAGTTATGTCAACTGGAAAAAAATACTACGGGATACTTAATTTACACGAATAGATATGCGGCACAGTTGTAGGCGGAAATTAAAGGCGACGGGAAGGGTTTTAGGTTAAAAACGTCGAAAGCACTGATTTATAAAAATGTAATTTTTTATTTTATCGATTTCTACGGTTTTGAAAAATGGAAAATTATAACTAAAAGTATGAACAGATGCAGTATTTTTTTCTCTAAAAAAAACGTATTTAGACTTTTGCTCTAAAATAATTAGGGGAGCTAGTAATTGACTATAAAGAAATTACCATTGAAATCCCTATGCTGCGTCGCGCTAGGCACCACCCGGTATACCTAGTATCATATTATATTATAATTTAAAGGTTTAATCCTGTTCATGTTTTTGTTTTTTTAAAAAAATCCACAGTTCACTAGGTGTGAGCGAAAAACAGATTTAGTGATTTTTCATTTAACTGTTGTAGAATCGTTATTATTAGAAATACAACAAAATGACACGAATAAAAGTTTTAGACATTTTAATGCCTAACATGATGAACATACTAATTTATATTTAGATCTTACAATTTTTGAGTTATAATACAAACTTTAATTTTTTTAAATGGTAGTCATAGTTGGCTTTGACATTTTTAAAAAGCACAAATTTTTTTCTTTATATCGATATAAGGCTTGCTAAATGTACTTTATAACTCTCGCCAGGAAAGATTGTCGGTCACAGCACACCTTGTGTCGATCTACGATCTATGTTTTTCTTAAGATGCGAGCGACTTCCGGAATAGGATCGTGATAATTTTGAACGATAAGTCTTTTTGTTCAAAATTGACACGATACCATCCCGGAAGTCGCTCACATCTTTAGAAAAAGTTAGATTGTAGACCGGGATCAAGTGTTCTGTGACCGGCAATCTTTCCTGGCGAGAGGTTTAATAAATAAACGCCCTGCAGTAATTTTCGTATTATTGAGAGGTAAGTAAACAGAGTTGGCCATGGAAAACAATATCTAGTGAGATAGGTACCTTTCATTTACGACGGAAATTGGACAGGCCATTGTTATCTTCATTTTCTACCAAATGAATTTCAAGATATGTAGGATGGGTTAGATTTAGAAACACGACGTATTTACGCTGGTTTCAACACAACGGTGCCCCGCCGCACAACTAACTGCAAGTTAAATATTACAATAGACAGTAATTAAGAGAACAAAAATGTTTCCCATGGCAAAATCTGTTTTTAATACTCTTAATAATACAAACAGTTCTGTATCATGTTTATTTGTCAAAGTACAATGAACCTTATATCATTGTAAACAGAAAAAAATCTACAATTTTTGTTCTTTCCATATTTCTGTATTTATAATACTAACGATTCTACAACATCTAAAAAAAAAATCACCAAATCTGTTTTTGGCTCATATCTGTGGATTTAAAAAAAAAATAAGCTAAAACGACAACTCTTTCCTCATTTAACCGAATCTCTATTTCTTACGGTTTCCGAGATCCTAATGCTTAAAATGAAAAAAAAACTCACCCTGTATGTATGAAAATTTTTTTAGAATTAGATCTTCATATTCTGAGGATCGCTGCTGCTTAGGCTTAAACTAAAATACTGAAAAAATTAGTCAAAACAGATAATATACATGGTGTTTTTTGCCGAATTCTAAAAATTAGTCATGAGTGCACTGTCTTTATTTTAGCAGATAGAACAAAAATGTATTTAAAAACATTAGAAGTCTAGGATTATTTAAACGCATGGTAAATCTCACACTGACATGCAATTTTATCATTGCGTAAAAATAATAATAAGTGTACAGTGATTTAGGATAACGATCCAAATAACGATTTCATGGGGTTAATAATTTCCAAAAATTCGTTGATGGTTTGGTATGGACTACATTTTATTGAAAATCCGCTTGTTGGAATAGGAAACCTTCCGCACTAAATACTGAAAAATGTACATCTTTGCCGTTCAATCGATCTTCTTATTATATGCCCCATATTCTAATTAAAATATGTAAATGATACCTTTCACTTTCAAAATGTTTCAAACACTCCACGCAATTAAGTTACCTGAATTTCAATTTGTATCTGCCATTTTGATAGCGAAAGTGAATATATGACAAATACGTGAGTGGTTTTAATCTGCAGACTTGCTATAAACATAATCTAATATATATCATCAATTCATGAGGAAGAGTCGGAGACGACAGGAAATCAATAATTATAAATCAAGATGTGGTCTATCCACTTTTCTTCTCACGGTTGCGTCCTTCAAAGGTAAAAGTATCCTAATATCAAAATCTTTACCTACGCACAGTTACCACGGTATATCTTACGAAAAGTATGAATTATTTACGGAAATGTCAAAAAATTTCAGCTGGAAACAATGATCTCATAGTGTTCTTGTGACTTTACAAAACGAATAAATTTTTTCAAAACAAAGACCATTATGGGTAAATGTGGCCTCATTTTTACCAAAGCGCAACTTTGATGACGCGGTTTAAAAAATTAACATTGACACAGAAGAAAAAAAAAATGTAAGATGTTTGCAGACAATTATTGCTAATTTCAGCTTTGACATTTTTCTATAAACCTCCTTACAGAAAAATGAAAGTTCACGTTCGTTTAGAACGCGGTAGAAAAATATATGGCTTCAGAAAAACAACTTACGCAAATTAGTATAGATCAATACAAAGTGAATGAAAGTTAATGGAGTATTAAATTGCATTTTTTCGCTTTACTTTTTTGGAAGAATAGTTAAAAGGTTTAAGGTGCATATAACCACACACAAATTCGGAATTGGTTAGGACATATTTCGCAAAATCAAAAATACGTGGGTCAATATGTGACAAGGTTGACATACCGTGGCCCAATTAAAAGTTTGTACCGGTTGCTTTTACTTATTAATTCGATCAATTATTAAAGCATTTGATTTAATTTGTTGTAAAGGGGAGGATTAATCAACATATTAGAACAGGGGATGGTGACTGATTTATGTTGATTTTCGCGTTTATGCGTCCGAGAGGATTGCAAGGCATAAAAGCGGCGACATCCTACCGGGTGATCCAAAAAGTAGTGCGGACAGTCTGAATTTCCCACAAAACAAAAATTTATAAAGTTGGTAACACGCCAAATGGCATTTATTTAACAGTGACAACTAAAATATTCACAATTAATTAATTAATTAAAAGACACAACCAAAGTTTTAAGTCCAGATGCTGAAA